AACTTTGCAGTATTTTGTTTTTTGGGGTGTTATTTCCTACATTATTAGCCCAGAATTGTTTTTGTGTTATTATATACAGCCAGAAATAACTTTTGGATATAAGAGCGACGTTAACTCACCAGCATTTTTTTTTACATCAAAAATATATATATATTTCACCTTTATTTAACCGGGTAGGCCAGTTGAGAACAAGTTCTCATTAACAACTGCGACCTGGCCAAGATAAAGCAAAGCAGTGTGATAAAAAAACACAACAACACAGAGTTACATATGGGGTAAACAAAACGTACAGTCAATAACACAATAGAAAAATAGAAAATCTATATACAATGTGTGCAAATGTAGTAAATTATGGAGGTAAGGCCATAGTGCAAAAATAATTACAATTTAGTATTAACACTGGAGTGATAGACGTGCAGAAGATGATGTGCAAATAGAGATACTGGGGTGCAAATGAGCAAAATAAATAACAATATGGGGATGAGGTAGTTGGGTGGGCTAACTACAGATGGGCTGTGTACAGGTGCAGTGATCGGTAAGCTGCTCTGACAACAGGCTCTGTCGTAGCCGGCCGCGACCGGGAGACCCATGGGGCGGTGCACAATTGGCCCAGCGTCGTCCAGGGTAGGGGAGGGAATGGCCGGCAGGGATGTAGCTCAGTTGGTAGAGCATGGCGTTTGCAACGCCAGGGTTGTGGGTTCGATTCCCACGGGGGGCCAGTATGAATAAAAATAATAATGTATGCACTCACTAACTGTAAGTTGCTCTGGATAAGAGCGTCTGCTAAATGACAAAAAATGTAAATGTAACTGATGCTTAAAGTTAGTGAGGGAGATAAGAGTTTCCAGCTTCAGAGATTTTTGCAGTTCGTTTCAGTCATTGGCAGCAGAGAACTGGAAGGAATGGCGGCCAAAGGAGGTGTTGGCTTTGGGGATGACCAGTGAGATATACCTGCTGGAGCACATACTGCGGGTGGGTGTTGCTATGGTGACCAATGAGCTAAGATAAGGCTGGGATTTGCCTAGCAGTGATTTATAGATGACCTGGAGCCAGTGGGTTTGGTGACGAATATGTTGTGAGGGCCAGCCAACAAGAGCGTACAGGTCACAATGATGGGTAGTATATGGGGCTTTGGAGACAAAACGGATGGCACTGTGATAGACTACATCCAATTTGCTGAGTAGAGTGTTGGAGGCTATTTTGTAAATGACATTGCCGAAGTCAAGGATCGGTAGGGTAGTCAGTTTTACGAGGGCATGTTTGGCAGCATGAGTGAAGGAGGCTTTGTTGCGAAATAAGAAGCCAATTCTATATTTAACTTTGGATTGGAGATGCTTAATGTGAGTCTGGAAGGAGAGTTTACGGTCTAACCAGACATCTAGGTATTTGTAGTTGTCCACATATTCTAAGTCAGACCCGCTGAGAGTAGTGATTCTAGTCGGGCGGGCGGGTGCAAGCAGCGTTCGATTGAAGAGCATGCATTTAGTTTTACTAGTGTTTAAGAGCAGTTGGAGGCTACGGGAGGAGTGTTGTATGGCATTGAAGCTCATTTGGAGGTTTGTTAACACAGTGTCCAATGAAGGGCCAGACAAAATGGTGTCGTCTGCGTAGAGGTGGATCTGAGAGTACCATAGAGTATCATTGATATGTACAGAGAATAGAGTTGGCCCGAGAATTGAACCCTGTGGCACCCCCACAGAGACTGCCAGAGGTCCAGACAACAGGCCCTCCGATTTGACACATTGAACTCTATCTGAGAAGTAGTTGGTGAACCAGGCGAGGCAGTCATTTGAGAAACCAAGGCTATTTAGTCTGCAATAAGAATGCGGTGATTGACAGAGTCGAAAGCCTTGGCCAGATTGATGAAGACGGCTGCACAGTATTGTCTTTTATCGATGAGGAATACAACTTTCCCGAATTGGATCCTTTCTTCGTTCCCACTGGGCAATTGGACTGATTCCAGAGGCTGATCCAAAATGCCGCCGGCAGAGAAGAGGTATTTGGAGTGGACTTCTAGTCCGACTCAGGAGGTGTGCACACCATCCACCGCTTCCAAGTATATTACTCGCTAATGTTCAGTCTCTGGATAATAAAGTAGACGAGCTCAGGGCGAGGATCTCCTTCCAGAGAGACATCAGGGATTGTAACATACTCTGTTTCACGGAAACATGGCTCTCTCGGGATATACTGTCTTCGTCCATACAGCCAGCTGTGTTCTCAGTACATTGAGCAGACAGGAATAAAGAACTCGCCGGGAAGAAGAAAGGCGGGGGTGTATGTTTCATGATTAACTACTCATGGTGTGATTGTGATAAAATACAGAAACTCAAGTCCTTCTGTTCACCCGACCTGAAATACCTCACAATCAAATGCAGACTGTATTACCTCACAAGAGAATTCTCTTTGGTTATAGTCACAGCCATGTATATTGCCCCTCAAGCCGATACCACGACGGCCCTCAAAGAACTACACTGGACTTTATGCAAACTGGAAACCACATATCCTAAGGCCGCATTTATTGTAGCTGGGGATTTTAACAAAGCAAATTTGAGGAAAACGCTACCGAAGTTCTACCAACACATTGACTGTAGTACTCGCTCTGAGAAAACATTGGACCATTGCTATTCAACTTTTCGAAATGCCTACAAGGCCCTCCCCTGCCCTCCATTCGGCAAATATGATCACGAATCCATTTTGCTCCTCCCTTCCTATAGGCAGAAACTCAAACAGGAAGTACCCGTGCTAAGGTCTATTCAACGCTGGTTTGACCAATCAGACATGCTTCAATATTGTTTTGTTCACGTGGACTGGGATATGTTCTGGGTAGCCTCCGAGAATAACATAGACGAATACACGGATAAGGTGACTGAGTTCATCAGGAAGTGTGTAGGAGATGTTGTAAACTTTTAAAACCTACCCAAACCAGAAACCATGGATAGATGGCAGCTTTAGTGCAAAACTGACAGCGCGAACCACCGCATTTAACCATGGCAAGGTTTACGGACATATTCAATCTCTCCCTATCCCAGTCTGCTGTCCAGACTTGCTTCAAGATGTCCACCATTGTTCCTGTTACCAAGAAATCAAAGGTAACTGAACTAAATGGCAATCGCCCCGTAGCACTCACTTCTGTCATCATGAAATGCTTTGAGAGGCTAGTTAAGGATCATATCACCTCAACCTTACCTGACACCCTAGACCCACTTCCATTTGCTTACTGCCTCACAACTGCAGACCACGTGTAACCACGCCAGCCCAGGACCTCCACATCTGGCTTCTTCACCTGCGGGATCGTCTGAGACCAGCCACCCGGACAGCTGATGAAACTGTGGGTTTGCACAACCGACAAATTTCTGCACAAACTGTCAGAAACCGTCTCAGGGAAGCTCATCTGCGTGCTCGTCGTCCTCACCGGGGTCTTGACCTGACTGCAGATAGACATCGTAACCGATAATACAGACAGCAGGTGTCCTGTTCCACAGCGTGGTAGAGACTGCCATTAGGAACACCTGGCTGTGGGGCTCTGCAGGTATAGCTGGTGGGGTTTTACCTGAGCCACTCGATGTGTGTGCATGTGTGTGGGTGCGTGTGTGTGTGTGCGCGTGTGTGTGTGTGCGTGTGTGTGTCAGAACGGTGTGTGTGTGTGTCAAGGGAAATCACACACTCCCCAGTCCCCAACACTCATTCCAACATGGCCCCCAGAGCCATAGCTCAATAATTACACTTTTACAATCCTATTAGGGTTTTTTGGCCTTTAGTCAGTTAGGGTCATTCTGAATTCTTGGTTAATATCCCTCACTACAGCTATACTACACATACACACACACACACACACACACACACACACACACACACACACACAGACACAGACACAGACACACACACACACACTGACACACAGACACACAGACACACACACACACACACACACACACACACACACACACACACACACACACACACACACACACACACACACACACACACACACACACACACACAGACACAGACACAGACACACACACACACTGACACACAGACACACACACACACAGACACACACACAGACACACACACACACACACCAGACATGGCTAACTGTACCTCGTGTCTTTGGATCTTAGGGAGGGTCATCTTAGGGAGGGTCATCTTAGAGAAGGTCATCTTAGGGAGGGTCATCTTAGGCAGGGCCTGCCCCTTGAGACGGAGCTGACAACGGCCCACACGTCTAGTTCTGTCTGGATGAGGGATGAGATGGAGTAATGCTGTCAGAGCTTCTCATCAGGTCACGGTCCAGAACCCACAGACCCACTGGCTGTAATGTTGTGGACACTTCCTAAGATCAGGAAACTACAGGCCAGGAAGCCATAACATGAGGTCCTCAGGCTTGCTTCACAAACAAGGGATTTTCACAGTATGTGTGTAAACTGGTGTATTTGTTTAGTGACTGTAAAGCCCTGTGTGGGCTGTGAAGTACAGGTGGTTTGTGGAGGTAGATGTGGTTTAGTACAATGGGTTTTATTAGTTCACTTCCCTCATATGGGGATAGAATACACACACTTACACAGGATCTGTCTCTCTCTCTCTCTCTCTCCTCTCTCTATCTATATCGTCTTCTCTCTCTATCTCTATATATCTCTTATCTATACTAGATATCTCTCCTATATCTCTTCTCCTATCTCTATCATCTCTCTTGACCGACCCCGACCTCGCCTCTACTCTCTCTCTCTAGCATCTCTCTCTGATCTCTTCTTCTTCTCTTCTCTCTATCTCTATCTCTCTATATCTTGACAAATATATATCTCTCTCTCTCTCTCTCTCTCTGACTCTCTATCTCTCTCTCTATCCTCTATCTATCCTCTATATCTATATCTCTCTCCTCTCTCTAACCCTCCTCTCTCTCATCTCTCTCTCCTCGATAGCTCTTCTCTCTCAAGGTGTTGTTCCATGCCCAACACAGACTCTACTGAGGTGGCTTCTGCTGAAACCGGAATCCCCACATGCCTGTACTGGCCCCGCTTCGTACGACCATCAGACCCCAGACCTGGAAGACAGGCATCGCCCTGCGCTTCGAACTCTACGGCTGCCAGATCACTGGTAAGAAAAGCTATGTTGCTTTCAAACCAAGGCATAAACAGTAGAGAGAACTGAAGATGAAATCCAAGTTTTTGTAATAAAATGTCCCTGTCCATGTCTTCACTCAACCACTCATCACCAAATTATTAGAGCTATAGTGAGCTAGCTGTAATTAGGTTTGTCTAGTTATAGTTGCCACTGTCATTAGCAGTGATTTGTTTCCCCCCACATCACAACATAATATAATATGCCATTTAGCAGACACTTTTATCCAAAGCGACTTACAGTCACGTGTGCATACATTTTTACCTATGGGTGATCCCGGGGATCGAACCCACTACCCTGGCGTTACAAGTGCCATGCTCTACCAATTGAGCTACAGAGGACCACGAAAGGAGACGGGCTGTTTAGCTCAGATGCTATCATTACATGAAAGGAGACGGGCTGATTAGCTCAGATGCTATCGTCACATGAAAGGAGACGGGCTGATTAGCTCAGATGCTGTCATCACATGAAAGGAGACGGGCTGTTTAGCTCAGATGCTATCATCACATGAAAGGAGACGGGCTGTTTAGCTCATATGCTATCGTCACATGAAAGGAGACGGGCTGTTTAGCTCAGATGCTATCATCACATGAAAGGAGACGGGCTGTTTAGCTCAGATGCTATCGTCACATGAAAGGAGACAGGCTGTTTAGCTCAGATGCTATCATCACATGAAAGGAGTCAGGCTGTTTAGCTCAGATGCTATCGTCACATGAAAGGAGACGGGCTGTTTAGCTCAGATGCTATCGTCACATGAAAGGAGACGGGCTGTTTAGCTCAGATGCTATCATTACATGAAAGGAGACGGGCTGTTTAGCTCAGATGCTATCAGCGCTACCATCACACACACACACATTGGCCCCTGATGTCACACATTGGCCCCTTTATTTATAGAAAGACCCATGTGTTTTGTAGTGATGTGATGAATAGATGAGAGACTGGGTGGTCACGTGTATTAGCCATGCATTGGATGCAATAGTTTTAGTGATATGGTCAGCAAATTGTTTCATCATGTCATAGCTTGAGGGACAGTGAGTGACCATAAGTTAAAACACACACACATCAAACTCCATCATTATATTATTTGCTGCCATTTTTGTTGACACTGAGAAGGACAGATGTGCTTTTAGCGACAGAAAGCTCTCTCAAGCCTGACACAAATGACACATAAACTAAATACTGTTGTCCATATTAGCTATTAGTGTCCCTGGGCCTGGCTGGCTGGCTGGCTGGCTGGCTGGCTGGCTGGCTGGCTGGCTGGCTGGCTGGCTGGCTGCACACTCAAAAGGAAACGAGACATGAGACCCACACACATACACACACCTCCCACACACTCACCGCCCACACACACATAGCGGGGATGCCAGCCATAGGCTACAGGGTGTGGCAGACCCATACAGGAAGACCTAAAGCATTCAGTCACTGACCTGTCATCAGCTGTTCTCTGGGATGAGGGCTGGCTGTGTCCCTCTGTCTCTGTCTCTGTCTCTGTCTCTGTCTCTGTCTCTGCCTCTGCCTCGTCTCTGCTCTATGCCTCTGCTCTGCCTCTGCCTTGCCTCTGTCTCTGTCTCTGTCTCTGTCTCTGTCCTCTGTCCTCTGGTCTCTGTTCTGTCTCTGTCTTGTCTCTGTCTATGCATCTGCCTCTGTCTTCGTCTCTGTCTCGGTCTCTGTCCTCTGGTCTCTGTCTCTGTCTCTGTCTCTGTCTATTCTCGTCTCTTGTCTCATGTCATCTTGTTCTGCCTATGCCTATGCTCTGAATCTGCTCTCTCTCATAACTCTCTCTCTGCTCTGATCTCTCGCTATATATATGTTATCTGTCTATGGCTATGTCTCTATCGTATATCTTCTCTAGATCGATGAGCTAGAGAGATCGAGCGATATCGCTAGATATCTCGATCTCTCTCTTCTCTCTCTCTTCTCTCTCTCTCTTCTCTCTCTTCATCCCTTGTTTCAGGAGGACCTACACCACAATCACCCTTTATTTGTTAACACCTTTTTCATTTTCACACCTTGTGTGGAGGGAGAGAAAACAGCTTTATTCCCTGAGCACTAGTAAAGGATTGTGTGAGGGAGGGAAAACAGCTTTATTCCGTGAGTATTAGTAAATGATTGTGTTTGGGAGGTGCTTTAGGTGCCCACTCTGTTTTAAGTTACAGCCCTATGGACCCTGGTCAAAAGCAGTGTGCTATATAGGGCGAAGGGTGCCATTTGGGACACAGAGAAAGAGTGGCTTGTGTTTGTTGAAGCCAACTGCTGTGACAGAACTACATGAAACATTGATCTCACTAGCCTTGAAATGTCAACGTCAGTCTTCCTCAATGCTCATTACCCATCTCTCTTTTCTTCCTTCCCCTAACCTCCCCTTCCCCCTAACCTCCCCTACCCCTAACCTCCCCTTCCCCTAACCTCCCATACCCCTAACCTCACCTTCCCCCTAACCTCCCCTACCCCTAACATCCCCTACCCCTAACCTCCCTTCCCCCTAACCTCCCCTTCCCCCTAACCTCCCCTTCCCCTAACCTCCACTTCCCCTAACCTCCCCTACCCCTAACCTCCACTTCCCCCTAACCTCCCCTTCCCCTAACCTCCCCTTCCCCTAACCTCCACTTCCCCTAACCTCCACTTCCCCTAACCTCCCCTACCCCTAACCTCCCCTAACCCTGAATCTGTGTCCAGGAAACCGGCCCTAGATATATTTTAAATGTGTTCAATAAAATGAATAAATTCATACTCCCCTCCAGACGCTCCGTGTTCTGAGATGCAGGGGATGCTGTCCGGCCTTCTGCCTGACTCCCAGATCACAGCGTCCTCCACGAGGGATATCCACGGCTCCATGGGGACAGCTAGGCTGGTAGCCAGCAGGTCAGGATGGTCCCCCAGCCCAACGCAGCCTCTGGCCGGGGAGGAGTGGCTCCAGGTATACAACATTACCTCTTCACACTGGCCAACCCAGAAACAATGTTTGTCTTAGCTTTTAGTGTTCTCACTGTAAAGTGCTGTAAAGTGTGTTGCGATTTTAAATGCACTTTAGGTAAAGTTGGATTTGATTTGTTTTGATCCAGGTGGACTTGGGGGTCCCTAAGACAGTGCGAGGCATCATCACCCAGGGGGCGAGGAGTGTGGAGGGGAGTACCTCAGCTGAGAACAGGGCCTTCGTCAGGAAGTACCGCGTGTCTCACAGCATGACGGGCAAGGACTGGACCTTTATACTGGACAGCAAGACCAACCACCCTAAGGTATGGGGAACACACACACACACACACACACACACTGACCAACTGTGCCAAGGTGGGGGATATGTGTGCACACAAGCTTGCACGCACGCACGCACACACACACACACACACACACACGCAAGCACACACACACACAAGCACACACACAAGCACACACAAGCACACACACACACACACACACATACATACATACACACACACACACACACACACACACACACACACACACACACACACACACACAATCACACACACACACACATACACACACATACACACACACACATGCATACACACACACACACACACACACACACACATACATACATACACACACACACACACACACACACATACACACACTCCTGTCTGCGTCTGTCACTGCTCCCTCTGAGGTTTAGGGTCCCTCTCCTCCTATTCCCTATTTAGTACACTACTGTTGACTGCTGTTGACTACTGTTGACTGCTGTTGACTACTGTTGACTACTGTTGACTGCTGTTGACTACGGTTGACAACGGTTGACTACTGTTGACTACGGTTGACTACGGCTGACTACTGTTGACTGCTGTTGACTGCTATTGACTGCTGTTGACTACTGTTGACTACGGTTGGCTACTGTTGACTACTGTTGACTACTGTTGACTACGGTTGACTACGGCTGACTACTGTTGACTGCTGTTGACTGCTATTGACTGCTGTTGACTACTGTTGACTACGGTTGACTACTGTTGACTACTGTTGACTACTTTTGACCACTGTTGACTACTGTTGACTACTGTTGACCACTGTTGACTACTGTTGACTACTGTTGACTGCAGTTAACTACTATTGACTACTGTTGACTACTGTTGACATCTTTTGACAACGTTTGACTACTGTTAACTACTGTTGACTACTTTTGACTACTTTGGACTACGTTTGACTACTGTTGACTAAAGTTGACAACTTTTGACTAATTTGGACTATTGTTGACCACTGTTGACTACTGTTGACCACTGTTGACTACTTTTGACAACTTTTGACTACTGTTGACTACTGTTGACTACTGTTGACTACTGTTGACTGCAGTTGACTACTATTGACTACTGTTGACAACTTTTGACAACTGTTGACTACTGTTGACTACTGTTGACTACTTTTGACTTATTTGGACTACTTTTGACTACTGTTGACTACTGTTGACTACTTTTGACTACTTTGGACTACTGTTGACTACTGTTGACTACGGTTGACAACTTTTAACAACTTTTGACTACTGTTGACTATTGTTGACTACTTTTGACTACTGTTGACTACTGTTGACTACTGTTGACTACTTTTCACTACTTTTGACCACTGTTGACTACTGTTGACTACTGTTGACTGCTGTTGACTACTGTTGACTACTGTTGACTACTTCGGCTACTGTTGACTACTGTTGACTACTTTTCACCACTGTTGACTACTGTTGACTACTGTTGACTACTGTTGACTGCTGTTGACTACTGTTGACTACTTTGACTACTGTTGACTAATGTTGACTACTTTTCACTACTGTTGACTACTGTTGACTGCTGTTGACTGCTGTTGACTGCTGTTGACTACTGTCGACTACTGTTGACTACTTTTGACTACTGTTGACTACTGTTGACTACTTTTGACTACTGTTGACTACTGTTGACTACTTTTGACCACTTTTGACTACTGTTGACTACTGTTGACTACTGTTGACTGCAGTTGACTACTATTGACTACTGTTGACTACTGTTAACTACTTTTGACTACTGTTGACTACTGTTGACTACTTTGACTACTGTTGACTACTTTTGGGACGCACCCAGTGACTCAGTCGTCAGATTCCGAGACTCTCCTCTCCTCTTCCGTCCCTCCAATTTCATTACAGTGTGAGCTACTCTGATTGCATATACATTTAATATTTTACACTTGTGTTAATAAAACTAAAAATACTCCACTACAGGCAATTCAATGCTCCAGCAGGCAACTTCCCACACACACACACACACACATGCACACGCACGCACGTACACACACACACACACACTACTACCAGACAGAGACACACACACTCACACACACACGCACGCACACACACACACACACACACTACTACCAGACAGACACACACACACACACGCACACACAGGCAACTTCCCACACGCACACAAGCACACACACACACACACACACACACACACACACACACACACACACACACACACACACACACACACACACACTGCTCCTCCAAAGCTCTCCTGCTGTTCCATCTAAAAACCTTCCTGTCATTGTCTCTGCCACAGATCTTCGAGGGAAACACGCACTACGACACTCCGGAGATCCGGCGGTTTGAGGAGATACCGGCTCAGTTCATCAGGATCTACCCAGAGAGGTGGTCTCCTGCTGGGATAGGGATGAGGCTGGAGGTCCTGGGGTGCGAACTGCCAGGTAAGACGGCATTACTCTCCCTCAACCTAACCGATCAGGGCAGACAAAAGTTGTGCTATCTGTCAAACGCATGCTACTGCAAAGTGGATAGCAGTGTCTGCTAAAATTACTTTTAAATTACACAAAGCACATACACACGTCATTACCCAATGTTTGGTTTTACGTTTGAAGAGACTATTATCCTGACTGAAAGGACAACAAGGCTAGTGTCAGATTATAAAGCAGATTCTCTATCAGCTGTAGCTTTGAAAAGGTCTGGGATTACGAACTAGAATGTGGATTACTGGTACTGTATGGATGGTGTTGCTATGGTATCACATCCTATCAGCCATAAGGCTGTCTGGTAGTAGGATTGGTGTTGCTATGGTATCTCATCCTATCAGCCATATGGCTGTCTGGTAGTAGGATTGGTGTTGCTATGGTATCTCATCCTATCAGCCATAAGGCTGTCTATGTTAAATCACCATCCGTAGGTCAGTCTATCTCTCTGCCCTTGTCTGTTACTTTGAGCTTTAAGAGATCAGCCCATCCGTCCCTCAAAGCTCACACATATATTTTCTAAACATCTCTACGTGAGAGAGCGAGAGAGAATAAATCACAATTAAATAAGTGTTAACTGTCTTAGAACGTTCTCAACAAACTCTTTTCAGACCAGGTAGCTATTATTTTTTCCCAAGTCAAGACAGAACTTTATTTATTGATAAAGACAGAGAGCAGAATTTGTCGTCCATTGAGTAAGACTCAACCATCACCTCCATGGTAATGATCAATTAGCTGATATAGCAACTATTGAATCTTAAACAGGGGAATTGCTATCAGAACCTAAATTAATCAATCAAAGATTCTTCCGCTTCTATAAAGAACTGTACACCTCTGATTGTAAATCTTCACCAAGCCACCAAGTCCTTTCTAAAAGAATGAAGAACTCCTCTTCTCTCAACAGAGGAAGCCACCTCTCTGGGAGCCCAAATCTCTCTCAATGAACTCAAAAGGGCATTGGATAGCATGAATAATCACCTGGATGGGACATCTCTGGGAGATTACAGTATGGTCCCTAAGCCAGAGAGGCAGGTATTCTAGTCATCAGTACCTGTCCTGTGCCAACTGGCAGCCATGCAGGTAAAGACAAGCACAGGATATGACATGTCCCTTGAAGACGAGGACAGGGTATGACACGTACCTGGCCCCTGTGGACACAGACCTTCAACCCAACAGGAAGAGGCTGGTGACTGGCAGTGACAGGCTGTCCACATCACTCTGTGTCACAGAGCCAGCGGGGCCTGGGATGGCCAGGGCAAGAAGGGCTGCGGCCTGGCTGTGGGCTGGCCGCGTCACCCTGTTCCTGGGAGGGCTGTAGTCCCCGATGTGTCAGAGATTGGCCAGAGGCAAGCGGTGATGGGAGGAGAGGTGGGAGAGAGGGGAGAGAAGGCATGGAGTCTGTCTTGTCCTGTCTTCCCTGAGAGTTGGCTGGCCTTGTGCTAAAGAGAGGAGAGACAGAGTCAGCTGGTGATGGGGAGAGAGGAGAGGGCAAGACATCTGTAGAGGAGAGAAAGGGAGAGGAGAGGTAGAAGAGGTCTGAGAGTGAGAGATCGGACGAAGGAGGATGACCTGAGGCCTCGAACGGCGACTTCCGTTATGAGGAGATTCGCGTAGAGGGAAACATAGGCGGCGAGAGTGACTGACGAGAAGGACAGTGCCGATGACCGGTTGACTCCCAACAGGAGACTGTAATAATGCTGTTCAACCTGTATGGTCTGGTGTCCAACCACCTCACACACACACACAACACACACACACACACACACCACACACACACACAACCCCACAACACACCACACACACCAACCCCGCCCACCAGCCCCGCCCCCCAGCCCACCCAGCAGCACGCAACGAGGGAGGTACGTTTAACTGGCAATTAACATAACAGGTCAGTCCAGAACACAACAAAACCTACAAGGCAAAAGAACTGGAGGAAGAGACGGAACTTCAGAAGCGACGGCAGAGGACGCGCACGAAGTAGAGAAGCGACGTAGATCATCGTCCTCGTAATTCTCGACTAAGCTCCTGCTCCTCTCCTCTCTCCTGCCTTCCTCTCCTCTCTCCTCTCCTCTCCCTCCCCTCCCTCCCGTCCATCTCTGATTTATGAAGCACTTTCACATATACTATAACATGTGGCGTGATAAAAACACTGCTTGGCTCTGTGGTCTCTCTATCTATCTGGCTCTGTGGTCTCTCTATCTATCTGGCTCTGTGGTCTCTCTCTCTATCTGGCTCTGTGGTCTCTCTTTCTATCTGGCTCTGTGGTCTCTCTATCTATCCGGCTCTGTGGTCTCTCTATCTATCTGGCTCTGTGGTCTCTCTATCTATTCTGGCTCTGTGGTCTCTCTCTCTATCTGGCTCTGTGGTCTCTCTTTCTATCTGGCTCTGTGGTCTCTCTATATATCTGGTTCTGTGGTCTCTCTATCTATCTGGCTCTGTGGTCTCTCTCTCTATCTGGCTCTGTGGTCTCTCTTTCTATCTGGCTCTGTGGTCTCTCTATCTATCTGGCTCTGTGGTCTCTCTATCTATCTGGCTCTGTGGTCTCTCTATCTATCTGGCTCTGTGGTCTCTCTATCTATCCGGCTCTGTGGTCTCTCTATCTATCCGGCTCTGTGGTCTCTCTATCTATCTGGCTCTGTGGTCTTTCTATCTATCTGGCTCTGTGGTCTCTCTATCTATCTGGCTCTGTGGTCTCTCTATCTATCTGGCTCTGTGGTCTCTATCTATCTGGCTCTGTGGTCTCTCTTTCTATCTGGCTCTGTGGTCTCTCTATCTATCTGGCTCTGTGGTCTCTCTATCTATCTGGCTCTGTGGTCTCTCTATCTATCTGGCTCTGTGGTCTCTCTATCTATCTGGCTCTGTGGTCTCTCTATCTATCTGGCTCTGTGGTCTCTCTATCTATCTGGCTCTGTGGTCTCTCTATCTATCTGGCTCTGTGGTCTCTCTTTCTATCTGGCTCTGTGGTCTCTCTATCTATCTGGCTCTGTGGTCTCTCTATCTATCTGGCTCTGTGGTCTCTCTATCTATCTGTCTGAAAAACAAGTTTGTCTGCTTGTTACAACAGACTTCAATATGTGTTTCAGAACAATAGTTCCTATCCGGCTGGAAGGACCAGGAGTTTGAGGGAGAGCTGGGATAGGGTTATTCGATATGAACTAACTGACCACTCAGAAGTTAGTAGCAGCAGTTGAGCTAGGATGCATCCCGAATTGAATCCTATTCCCTATATAGTGCACTACTTTTGACCAGGGCTCATAGGGTGTCATTTGGAACTCAGCCCCGGTGTGACTCTTAACAGACTTGAAGAGCACTATATGAACTCACTCAGTGTCCACTCAGACGTCGCGTAGTAGCAGTATTTAGTAGTCAGGGAGTTGGACCTGTCATGTTGTTGTTCTGCATTCTGTTCTGTTCTGTTCTTGTGTCGTGTCGTGGGAATCAGACAGGATAAAATATTCAGAAGAGTGCATCAGCACAAACCAACAGACAAACAGGCACACAACAACACAACACACACACACCAACACAAACAAACAAACAACACACAAACAAAACACAACAAAAACAAAACACAAAAAAAAAACAAACACAACACACAACAACACAAAACAACTATACAACAAAACAAACAACCCACAACAAAATCAAAAACACAAACACGAAAACCAAGCAACTAGAAACAAGACTACGAGAGTCCGCGAAGCGACAAAAGACAGACGCAAACAACAAACGCCAACAGGCCACGAACAAGAGAACACAAAACACAGCAAACACGAACAAGAGAAACCACACAACGCAGCAGCCACAAACGAAGATCCAACGAGAAACACAAAGACAACGAGAAAAGTATAGAGACGACAAAAAGAAAAGAGCAACCAACGAAGAAGGACAACAACGAAACGCAGCAAAAATCGAAGAGAAAAACACGCATACACGAAAAGAGAAAGAATGGAAAGACAAAGCCGAAAGAAGAGAAAGCCAAAAATGCACTAGAGAACGGAACGGCAAAAGATGAAAGTCCCGACTGGAACATCACTATCACAAAGGGCTCCAACGACATTCCCTACCTTCTCCCCCCTCTACCGGTCCTATCCCCTTCCATCTTCACCACTCATCTCCCCCCCTCTCCTTTTCATCCCCTCCTCTCCCCCCCTCTCCTGTCCTCCTCTCCCCTCCTCTCCCCACTGGCAGGGAAGTCTGTAACAGAGGAATAATGAATTGATTAATAAATAAAAGCGACATGTCACGGTTGTGCATAGCGGAGCGTGAATGACACCCAATCCTCTGAACTCAGATATTACAATCACTGCAGCCTCTCTATAATTCATTCATGATTTGACGGCTGTGGTAGAGGGCATGTGTGTGTGTGTGTGTGCGTGCGTGCGTGCGTGTGTGTGTGTGCGTGCGTGTACGGCGACCTCTAGGGCATCAGAAAAACAGGGCCATCAAGGTTAGCCTATAATGACACTACAGTCACATTGAAGACGTGATCCATGTGAGAGTTGAACCTACAACCTTGGTGTTGCCAGTGTAGCGCTCCAACTCCCTGAGCCATCTGGACCTCTGTATCAGTCTCCCTTCTCAGCCAGCCAGCCACAGCTATTTGTTTATTCTGACGATAGACACAAGGAAGCACATTAGATGTGCAGGACAACAGTATGTTGATGGCTGTAGATTCCAGTGGCGGTCGGTGCCATTTAAGATGAGCATGGCCTTATTTCTATTACAGCATATTGGATGACTGTCATTCATATTCCATTCACCCAGTTCAATGTAAAATCCATAGGTTTAGGCTACTACATGATTCTCTAACTGTCCCTCTACCCATCATGGAGGTTGCTACAACCTAGCCTATGAATGGAAGTTTACAAGTAGGTGCACACAGGTCGAGAGAAAATCTTGAGTTGGTTGGTGTGAGGTGTGACCCAGGTGTGGTGCAGGATAGACAGTAGGCAGTAGGCAGAGATGGTGAAACAAGGATCTTTACTGGTGGACCAAAAGCCAGGATACGGCAAAAGCCAAAACAGACTTTACACGAAAACAAATGAGGAGCACATAGGACTGC